TTATAGATTTATTATAAACCATAAATAATAACGTTTGGGTGTTAGGGCTGTAGAAGCTTCTTCGGGCTGGTTATAAGAACTGAGTGGATATTTTTTAGAAACTCCCTGCAGATGGTACGGACACAACATCCATTTAGTAACAACTTGTTAGCGTGTATAACTGTAGACCTACCATCAGAACCCATCTAATAATAACTCATTAACATTTATATCTCCAGACCTGATTCATCAAATCCTTTATTATTTGCACATTTCCATCTATAGTTTTTGGCAGTTAAACACATTTATTAATGAGTAAAGAAACCCTTATAACTCCAGGTGCTGTAGTCAATACTCCTTATTAACTTATATAATCACAAATACATTTAAAAATTACTTTTTTTTTGTGATTTACCTCCTTTTTTAATGACTTATTACTTAGTATTGTTACTTTGAAACATCAATAAGTGCAGATTTGGTCACTTGGTGATCTGAGCGGGTTATCAAAACACCATAACAATGACTTATTCACATCCATGACTGCATGTGTTTGCTTTCAATGAATCTTAATAACCTTTTTATGTTTATAACTGGATACCTGATGTAATAAACCCCTAAGTGTTTGCATATTTCCATTTATAATCACATTCTTTGTGGTTTAACACCTTTATTAATGACACACAAACACTTATAACTGCAGGTATTGTGGTTAATGCTCCTTACTAATGACATTGTTGTTACTTTACTCCTTTAAAAAACGTATTAAGGTGTATACCTGCAGATTTTTTTAACTAAAAGTATTTTAATAATGTAGTAACATAAAGTGTTGTTATGTCCAACCTTCTTCTAACTATAGCGTTCATCATTTAAAAGCTCAAACTTCTGTCTAATTTATATATATCCTCAGAACGGGTTATTATGAGCCCATATTAATGACGTATTAACTTTTATATCTGTTTTTAATGACTCGGTTGAGTGTGTAACGTGTTGTATCATACCACTTGTCTCAATATTCTTATTATTGCAATTTTTATTATTTAAAAAAAATTGAAAACATCTTATTCATGTCTTAATAACAGCTGCTGGTATTTGCATCCAGCAAATTCTAATAACCTTTTTTAAAACTGGAAAGCTGAGACATTAAACCCCTTATTAATTTCTCATTTGCATTTATAATTCAATTCTTGGAAATTAACCTACCCCATCAACGAGATATAAACAGTTACAACTTCAGATTTTCATACAGTAATAACCTATTGGCATTAATAGCAATAAACTTTATTTTCAAACTTTATATTAAAACTAATCTCATCTATAAATGAACTTATAAGTTCTGAACTAAAGACTTATTTCTGTGCATAAATTCCAGCAACATGCGTTGACCTTTATAAATCTACAAACATGTTGATGTTGTTGTTGTTGTTGTTGTTTTTAAAAATAAATAAATAATAATAATGATATATCTGGCTGTCAGCTGAATGACTTGTTGATAATTAAATCTTTATCAGTAAGTCAGTAACATTAATAATTGCAGACTGCATGTATTACATTTCCTGTAACTGAAGACTTTGTGGTTTAAACACTTCCAGTATTACATATAACTAAATATTTTATAAATGAAGCCTTTTATCAATAGCTTGTTAACCAAATTTTCATCTTTATCTAATTAACCTGCAATTAATTGTACAGTAGTTTTTTTTTATTGCAACCTTTTATTAATAAGTTACTAATATTAAAAACTGCAGACTGCATGTATTAATCCTCTTTATTTGTGACTTATTAACATTTAACATGCTGCTCCATGTCTGAAACATTTGATAAATTACTTGTTAATGACTTATTAAAATCTATGAAGTATTTAATGTGGCTTTAATAGCCTGTTACATACATGACATACATAGATTTCCAGCATGCGATAGGGATAAACATCATAGACCCAGGGTTTTTTTCACAATCTGGCTTTTTTTTTTCTTATTGATGACTTAAACAGGTCAATAATATTTATTAATCACTAATGAAGCCTTTAGTATAACTTATGAAGGGTTTTTTTTAAATTATAAATTGCTGAATGTCCAGAAATATCCAGTGTCACGGTTCACAAAGTGAAAAGATCATGTTTAGATCTGATTTTTAAATTAGCTGACTTCATTCTTCCAGGCTTTTGTCCAAACGCCCGCAGAGACGGAGGATCTGTCACCTATATCCACCCTGTAGATCCGAATTTGTGTAAATACAGCAGCAGCCACAAATTCGCATCTTGGGGAGTATGTAGATGATGACACATCACCTAGAAGGGAAGAAAAACATTCGTCCAGAAGACAAGAAAATTCCTTTGTTTGTGTATCAGTGCAACATGAGCGCTACATTTGATATTTCGTGCTGGTGTGTGTGATTTTTTTTTCTTTAGAGCTGCAGGCCTTCTGCACAGTTTGGCTGGCTGTTTTCTCTCCTCTTTCCTCCCTTTTAGCGCCTCATTGTTGGGGAGGGTGGAGGGTAAAGAATATGACATCTGGGAAAGTTGCCGGACGAGCCTTGAATGTGGGCATTGTTCCGCACATCATTTGTCACGTCTCCTTTTCACTGCCACTGTCCGTATAGTCAAGGAGGAGTTGTAGTTTGCAGCCAGGGGGAAATGTGAGGAGGAGGAGGACCTCAAACAAACATTTCCAACGGACCTGACTGGATGGAGAAGCCGGCCTGGTGAGGAAAAGCATGAGGCACCGGAGAAGGAAAAAAGTAAGTTCACCAAAGTTGGATTTTACGCACTCGCAGTGTGAGTTTGATTAAAGTTTTCGGGAGTAACGCGGTTATATTTAGCATTTCTAAGCAGCAAAGGCAACAAATGAATCAAAGGCGAAGACAGGAGGAGCTTTATTAATGCACATTATTTTTAAAAATCCTCCCGTAAAGACACATTATATATTGCGTAACATCTGTTCAGCCTGCGCTGTGCAGCTGTTGACAATTACCCAAACAAACACTTATACATATATATCTGCTGTTTGTTTACTGCTTATAGATGCCAAACAACATTTTTAAATCACGGTTATTTATGAGTATTTGTTTGGTTATCGACTCGCTCGTGTTGCCTGCGTGGGGAATCAAGCCTCTGCCACCGCCGATTCAAGAGAATTAATTCGGGGCAATAAATCCCCTCCTCTGCGCACACGTGGTTCCTGCAGCTAATTGACAGGAGCGGTTGCAGTGCGCTGCATTTGTCAGCAGGCCTGCAGACTGAGCGGAGGGCGGCTGGAGGTGGAGGTGGTGGGGGTATGTGGAGGGTGTGTGTTTGTGTGTGTCCATCAAACACCAGACAGAAGAAGAAGAAGAGAGAGAAGACGATGAGGAAGATCGCGAGTGATGGGCGTAAAGTGCAGCTCGGGGATGTTGTCATACATGAGTGATAACGACATTCCACGAGGATCAAACCTATTTGTATTTATATTTATTGTGCATGCGTTATTCAGTGGAAACTGACTTATCAGGTCAGTCCATCTGCACCTCCACCCCCAACACACACACACACACACACACACACACACACACACACACACACACACACACACACACACACACACACACACACACACACAGCCTCCACGTCTCATATATCAGAGGGCAGTTTTTGTCTAAACAGCGCACTTATTGCTGATTTTTCTTTGTGTGTTTATGGCGCTTTTTATAGGCTCTCAGGAGGATTTATGTTTATATGTGCACCTGTGTGCACCTGCAGTGCTTTACTCAAGTATTTCTGTCTACTTTCACTACATTTCAAAAGCAAATATTTGATATTGTTTCTCTGATAACTTTGCAGAATAACAATAATTGTGTTAATGCATCCTATTAACAGAATAAAAAACTTTTTTTATTGTGCTATAACCATATGTGTAACATTAAACTAATGCTTGCACGTTAATGCACCGTCAGTTATAATCCGGTATTTTTTTCTTCCTATGCCATCAGAATGATTTTTGTCTTTGAAATTCTGTTTGATAATGAGACGATAGTTCTAACAGACATAATCTTTTCTTTCTCAAAGGAACACATTAGGGTTAGACCTTACTTTGGGCACCTTTGAGGGTAATACTTTAGCACAAAGGGGTTAAGCAGGGTAGCTGCATGCTAGTTGTTAAGCAGTTATGGCTGAGGACTAAATCTCAGAAATTCAGTGCCACACAAATTGCAGCTTCGACTGATGGGAATGTCTTAGCACAAAGGCAGCTTGTAGTTGAACCTTCCAGGGCTATAAGCTACATCTGGTCGGATTCATCAGCATACATGGAGAGCTGTACAGCTGTTCAAGCAGACGGTACTCGGCAGACTTTCAGCGCTGACCAAAGCCACAAAAAACAAAAACAAAAGAAAAAACCTACATGTGGGGCACAGAGAATGTTTTGCAAGACTGAAATTTTGATAACTAACTTATTATCAAAATTTCAGCCGGGATAGGCTCAAGACCCTGAATTGAAGAAGCAGGCGAAAATTCAACTTAAACAAAATAAACCAAAACTAATCAGGTTAAAGATATGGAGCTGATAGTGTGAAGGGCAAGTGTGATATTTCATTCAAATGCATTTAATCATCTGTGACTCTCAGCATGCATGGATCAACACATTTCCTGGTAACTAGAGCCAATCAAAATGTGGAAAATGGTGGTGGTGGTGGTGAGGGGGGTGGGGGTGGGTCATCTCTTCTGCAGGTCTGCATGTTTTTTAACGTTTTGGAGCAAACACAACACGTCACGCTTTTTTCTCCGTCTGCTAAATTCCACTTTTAACGTTTATTTTAATTCAGTCTTTGTTTAATCAGTAAAATGCGACTCGTGGAGCATAAATCTGGTTTCTCAGAGCGCTCTGGCCAAATATAGGAAGCAGTTTAATCAACGGTGATTGCACAAAATAACTGCACCAGTGTGCGTGAGGTAAATCAGACCTTTTGGACAGAAGGCCCACGGCTGCCATGAGACATTTTTGTGGCACGCATCAAAGATCAAAGACGTCCATTTGCATTAATTAACGCCACTGAGTTAAATATTACCCTCAAGAGCCAATCAAAGAGACCGAGCAAAACGTGAAGACGAGAGATCAAAGCACCGCCAATCGATCCGCTGCAGCGGTCACCAAAAACCAAAGCCAGCACAAGCCAGGCCTCGTTACAAGATTTTCTTTTCTTTTTTTTAATGGATGCTGCTGTGCTGACCGCGGTCTGTCTCCACTTTGGTGCTTTGAAATGAACCTCTCTGATCTCTCTTTTAAATTAAGGAAGAAAGGATCCATTACGCAAAGAATGCATTTGGTATAAAGACTAAACACTGATAGCTTTCTTTGGCTGAGTAATTTACGGCATCTCTGGCATCGGTCCTGAACTGGATGTCTGAATTTATTGTTACAGCAGCTGGACGACTTCCCAGGATTGTTTAAACAAGACGTGGCTGCCTGTGTGTTCATAGAAGTGTGATTTCTCTGCGCCCCGAAAGCTTCGCGGTGGAATTAAAAACTGGTAGCCTTTGGGTGTTTTTAATGCATGACAGTAGTGGTGGTGGTGGAGGTGGGAAGCATCTCCCTAACAGGCCATTTTCTTTATCTAAATCTACTTCAAATCGACTTCAGTGCCAAAAATATTTCAGCTCCCCCTGCCCTCTGCTGAGCCAACTTAATGTTTCTGGGTTTTCATTCTGCTCTAATTGCCGCAGAAACGTAGAGGAAGTCAATTTGCCATATAGAAAGACGTAAAAATCCCCTTTCTTATCTTTATCGCAGGCCTATTACCATACATGAAACTGAGCCTGCACGATCAGCAGAAAGGCTTCCTTTTTACGCGCACACACAGACACACACACATCCACACACACACACACGCCGATCCTGTGTGCAGAAATGCAACGCAGGGCGGTCTGCAGCTGCAGAAACACTGTCCACTCCTTCACCACTCAAAGCCACGTCGCGTGCACCTTAACGCACGAGAGCCGCGTGCTTCTGCTGGGATTATTCACTAATCCGGGAGGTTTTCCAAAGGTGAGAGGAGCCGGTGTGTTTTGTTTGCGTGCAGGATTGTTTCAGCAGCGGAATGAATGTAGGTTGTGAAGGTAAGGCAGCCGAGCTGTTGTGCCGCGGACTGGGTTATGTGTCTTTATGATTTACGAGCCCGACTCCAGCCGCGGTTCAACCAGAGTTCATAAAGCTGCATGCCTCCAGTCTTATTCTCCCTCTCTCCCTTGCTCACTCCCTCTCCTCGTCCTTAAAACTGCGCCTTTAATAATTTCATTCTCTTTAATTTTGGAAGAAAAGTGAATTAAATTTAATTGCCCGAGAAGATGCGCACAAAACAGCCGCGGCGCACAAAGCACTTTTCTTTTATTTTGCGTTTAATTGATGGATTTTTCTTAGCAAACTGTGATGTAACGTTTAATTTTTCCCCCTTAAAAAATGCCCAACGCAGGGCTATCCATTAACTGAACAAAGGCTGCTATTTATTAGCAGTCATACAGGCCTAATTTAATTTCCCGCAGCACCACTGAAAGCATGAATAAAAACACTGTTATTTGCTATATTTGTATTTAATGTATGGTTTTATATTTTAGCTATTTATATCTGTCAATTAGTATTATTTTTTTCTCTTGCCCTGAATCTGAATCAAACAAAAGACTGCCTCCAATAAAGCTGCCCCTTTAATACTCTGCAATCCTTATATATTGCTTATGCTACTTACATAATTAAATGACAATAAAAGGAATTTGTAGGCCACTGAGGTCCATATTAATTGCAAAGGGTGAACAAGAGGATAATAATTGAATTTCTGCAGAGATTTTACAGGATTATCCTCCTCTTGGTGTGTTTTTTTTCTTTCTTTCTCCAGCACACTCTTCATTCTGCGTCGCCTCTCTGGCTTGGAGAGGCTTGCTATTCATGTCAGCATACTATTGAGTTGATAAGATGGATCATTTAGTCTCCTCCCTGATTCTGTCTCCGTCTTTTTTCTTTTTTTGCTGGATCGTCTCAGGCCAAGAAGCCCTCTGTGGAAACCTGCCATGTGACATTTGGCTGCCAGCGCTTCGCCACAAGGTCAAAAAGGGAGGGGAGGAGAGGAGGGGGATGAGGAGACCCTGTGCACGTTTAATGGAAATGCAGAAAACCAGCAGCGCTTCACACAGCATCCACCATCATCACCATCACCACCGTGACCTCTTCAGCGAGTCTCCGGATGGTGTGAGCGGCTTTGAGTGTGCTCCTCAGCAGCAAGTGGAGGCGTCTGAGCATGGCACGTTTCCCCGGAGGTCAAAGCAGCAAAACCCAAAGTTTGCAATGAGCAGAAAGATTTTCCCCTGGATGAAAGAGTCCAGACACTCAAATCAGAAACCCGGGAGGAGAGTCGCAGGTCTGTATGACATAAACCAGCAGCAGCAGAGGATTTTAAATGAAGCCGTTTCCAATCATTTTCCCTTCAACGTAGCTCCTAATGTAGCGTATATTCCCTGCAGTTCAGCATTAAAGCTGCAATCAGGCATGCGAGGGGAAGGCCCTGGCTCAGGATTTAGGATGACATTTGTTTTAAGAATAAAACAGACCAAGCAATATAATTTAATTTCACATGTCATGTTTATTACATAGAAAAAATATTCAGATTTAATCGATTTTGGGGGGGACAGACGAAGCCGAGAGTAACAGGACACAGACAGAATGACTCATCAGCGCAGAAATGCTGCTTATTAAAACAGGAAACACACAGATATAGATGGCCCTCCTTCATTTAAACTCACGTTTTTATTCTTTGCAATTATCTTCCACTTTAAATACAGTTTCTCTGAACCTAAATCAGAGACTTTCATGATTTATGACAGAAAAAATATTTAAATAAAAGGCATAAGACAGTCAAATGTCCAGTATCAACTGACTTACCGAATTTCCCAGAGGAACCCACCCGAGGGATTAATAAAGTTTTATCTTATCTTATCTTATCTTACTTATTTGACATCAGACACACATAAACCAAACGAGAACGAGCCTGGACAGCACTTCTTCTTGTATATAAAAATGTATTTTTATATTTGGGTTTCATTTAGTAAATCATTAAACGCATAGAAATTGCCCCTCCCCCGCCACACACACAAATAGTTAAAATCAACATCCTTGAAATGCGTAGACTTGTAACACAAACTCATCACCTGCATTTTAGCCTTGGAGCTTGCTGACTTTGCCCTTTAGCACATGCGTACTAACTTGCTCACAGAGCACCAGAGGCACCGCGAAGCTGTGGTAACGTTATGTGTCCTCTGCGCTGCTCCTTTATTCTGTTCTGCTGTTGATTTTATTTACTGATTAAACTTTAATTTGCTGTTTTTACTTTTGATCTTTTACTTTTTGCTTTTTTTTATAATGGGGGGGGGGGGGTCATAGCAGGAAGAGGGTCAGCTAATGAGACATAAGACTAAAACTAAAAGATGTGCAAACTTAAAGAGTTATTGAAGGGGAAGCTTCTAATTTGATCACGTTCCCGTGCACATTATTGTCTCTACAGACTGCCCCGTGAACGAGAAGAGTCCAAGCAGCGCGACCCCGGCCTCCAAGCGAACGCGCACCGCGTACACGAGCGCGCAACTGGTGGAGCTGGAGAAGGAGTTCCACTTCAGCCGCTACCTCTGCAGGCCGAGGCGCGTGGAGATGGCCGGCCTGCTCAACCTTCACGAGAGGCAGATCAAGATCTGGTTCCAGAACCGGAGGATGAAGCAGAAAAAGGACCAGCGAGGTCAGGGCCTCCCTCCAGCCATCACCACCTCCTCTTGCTCGCCCTCGTCCTCCCCCTCCGCCCCGGGAAGCCCAACTCTGTCGAGCCTGGGTTATGTCCATCTGGGAGGGGATTACCAACCGGCCTCCCCTCCGCTCAGGCCCCAGCTGCAGCAGGAGCAGCTGCCTGCGTACCCGGCAAACTACTCTAAATATCCAGTTTCAGGCTTCACGCATGGCCCGCAGTTTGATGTGCAGTACAGCACCCACACAAGCTCACACACACCAAACCCCAACCTGCGAGGAAACGACCTGAGCGGCTCGTATTTCTCACAGAGCTGCAGTCCTCAGGAAAGAATCATGCAAGCTCCCAAACTGACCCACCTGTAGCGCACGGTGGATTTATAAAGAAGCGCAATACTGACATATTTCCATGCATGCGTTATTTATTTATTTATTTGACTAATTAATCAGAATATTAGTCTCAAATGTTGTTGTTTTTTATCTGTATTTATAAATCATTTGCTGTGTGTTTTAAGGGCAAAGTTTCGGTTATTTTCTTTTCGACTTTAACTTTCGTTTAATAATTAAGACCTTAAATTAAAAAGGTTCACTGCTGTAATTTACCCAACATAATAATAATAATAATAATAATAATAATAATAATAATAATAATAATTTATTCCACCAGATTTGATCTCCAAAATAAAAGAGCCAAGCGCAAATTTCTCTCTTTTAATTAGAGCTTAGTTAGCGCCTGAGGTTTATAACCTTACATTAACTCTTATAAGAGGAGAGTGGAGCTTGTAGGCTTTGGAGGATTTTACCCTGTAAGTGTGAACAACTTTTAAGCAGAAAAAGAAAGACGCCGTGGAGAAAAAAAAGACTGTATATGGTTCTTAAACGTGTCTTTGTTCTTTTATGGGGGAAATGGGCCAAACAAGCTGTCAATCTTTTAAAAGGAGCCATGATGGATCACTGGAGTCACTGCAATGCCTTTCCCCCCTTGCCTGATTCGGTGTCTGTCTGCAGGGTTCACTCAGTCCGAACGTGTTTTAATAATAAGCCAGTTATTTAAGCAGCTACAAAAAGTGTATTTTCAGTATAGAAATGAGCTTCATTCATGTCATTTAGAACAGAGAATTAAACAAAGTGCATGAAAAACAAATGATATCACAATTAAACAGCTGCAGGCCATAAATTAATAGAAAAGGTTATTTTATATTATTTGTTCAAGAGTAAAATAACTCGAAAAAAGTAACTTTTTTGTTATTATCATTTTTATTATCATTTTTTTCTCATATTCATTTATCATTTTTTCTTCCTGTAACACTGTGGCCTGAAAATGTGTCCTCCTGTTTGCGTTCCTATCAGATGGATGAGCGAGTTTGATTGAAGCATTTGTCATGTAAATGCGAGGCCGTTTGATGGACGAGTCTGCAGACTTGACAGAGTGCTGTAGGTCCCTTGCCATTGGCGTTTGGCGGGTCACATGGTGTGTCAGGAAGGTGATATGAGGGTGGAAGGCAGTTTTACAGCTTTGACATACTACCTAGAAGGTTAGGGCAAAGGGAGCACCGATTAATGACTGCACGGTCTTGATCAGTTCTGAACAAACGGCAGGCCCAGGTTCAGGATGAACTCATACTTAGATTACCCCGTGTGCAACCGGGGAGCAAATATTTTCAGCGCAAAGGCCGGATACCACAACTTAAACCATGGATATACATCCTCCAACTCTTGCGCAACAAGTGATAGTTACGCACCGGACGGACGTGTAATGGTCGCAACTTCGGCGCCCCACCAGACTCCGAGCCTCCCTCTGCACCACCAGAACCACGTAGGCTTGGACATGCCGTTCGCGGGACCGGGCAACTCCGTGTATGGCTCACCTCTGGAGTACGGACATCACCAGTACGGCCTCGCCCCCGAGCAGGACCGGAGCTTTATCCATGCACAAGTCTCACCCCTCGCCACAAACATGGCTCCCTATACCGGGGACAGTTGTGGGCCTGGGGTTGCACCGGGAGGCCAGTATCTGCATTTTGGCAGCGGGGATCAGAGGCAGCAAGAATATTCAGAAAGTGTTTACGCAAGGTTACCGCCTCCATGTAAGGAAAGGGATTTGGAGCATGTAGAGGAAACTTCGAAAACTTTCGACTGGATGAAAGTGAAGAGGAATCCTCCCAAAACAGGTCTGTTATGAGGAAATCAGAGCTAAGAAATGCAGTTTAGAAACCAAACGGGATCTGTTCCCCGTGCGTAAAACCCCCATCCAGCTGATATAATTAGACCAAATTGTTTTAGATTGTCCTCAAATGATTTGGCAGCTAATATTTCACGCATTTCTTCTGTTCACGCTGACATTTTCATCGTCATTAAAGCCCACTCTTTAGCCCCATGACTTTCATTTTCCTCTATCATCCCATTCATCCATTTCTCTCCACAGCAGTCGTGTCGGAGTTCGGTGTTCCCGGCCAGCACAACGTGATCCGCACTAACTTCACCACCAAGCAGCTGACCGAGCTGGAGAAGGAATTCCACTTCAACAAATACCTATCGCGGGCAAGGCGGGTGGAGGTGGCGGCCAGCCTGGAGCTCAATGAGACGCAGGTGAAAATCTGGTTTCAGAACCGGAGGATGAAGCAGAAGAAACGGGAGAAACTGGGCTGTGTTTTAGTCAACACCCCGGCACCAACGGAGAAACTTTCCACCTCTGAAGCCTCCCCAAAGACAAAAGAGGAAAAACTAAACCGTGACTAAAAATATAACTGGAGGCCCGAGCAGAGTTTTTCACATTTTCCCCAAAGTTGCACCATTCCAGAAAAAAACTGAAAATTGCTTGTAGACTTGTGAACTATACAGGGTAGGCAGTGTCTGCTTGTAGTCATTTAATCTTTCTATTACACACCTCCATGCTGTTTTTTCTTTGTTTGTTGGCGCACTGATGTACTCAGTGTTACCGTTTGCACTATTTATTTACAGGGTATTTTCCAACAGTTGTTGAAACAATTTAGCTTAATAAAGTCTATAAAAGGCAATAAGAGTTGTATTTGTTGCGTGTGTGAGTGTGCAATAAAATAAAAACAAAAAAAGAGTATCTAGATAATTCTGATTCAGTCCAATCAAACTTTAAATTCTGATAAAGAATTTGTTCTGTTTCACTGTGTAAAATAAAGTTATGTGTGGTTTTAAAAACTTATTCCCCCCCCTGTATGTTTACCTCTATTATTAGTCCCCTTGCATAATGTGACAAGAGGAATCTTTCACAACACATGGGGTGGTTCTCAGTGACCTTTTCACCTCGAAATACCTCCAGGGGCTCTAAACATGACAACAAACTCCAGGGAGGCAGGTCTCAGGCTCGATTTGTTACCCAAATTCTGCCGGGACACAGGTTGTCACAGGTTGTCACTGAAGTCCATTTGTATCTTATAAAATTTAACAATCTTTCTTTTAAAATGATGAAATCAATTAACCTCTCAGCGCTTACTTTGGTTTCACCTTGAGCCAAAGGCTCGCCGGACCTGACCGCCTACTTTCTTGTGATGTTGAAGGGGCAGCAGTTTCAATATTTGCACTGGGTGTTAGGTTTGCACACAGTTTCTGCCCCAACAGCACTGGCCTGTTGCTGCCCCTTTCCCCAAAGCTGAGGTTCACACAGAGTTCAGGCACAAATGAATGCAGAGTCAATCTGTCAAGACACCAGAGAGGCTCAGAGAAGTGCGCTCTAAGTCTCTCAGATCTTTGCAGGTATTGCTTTTAATATTGAGACTAATAAGGTTGTAGGTCATTTAGGTTGTGCTCCAGATTGTGCAAACTTTAATCTCTCCGAGGCTGCTCAAAAACAAGTTTTAAGGAAATGGAAATCATTTGAAATATATCTGCATGAGTATGCAGTCCTCTGACAACTATATTAAAAATTGATACAGTCCTACGAATAGAAGTTACAGTTGAAATACCATACGGCCCATTACTGTAAATTAGAAAAGGAGCAGAGAGGTTTGGTGACATGCATTTCTTTACAAACCAACAGCCTGCTCTTCAGATGAGTCGCAAGGCCAAGGACTGGGAAGGCGATAATCTATAAGGTGAATAGTGACAGATTCAACAACAAAAAAGGGGGACGGTGTGGAAAACAAGTGTGGGACTTCATTCCAGAGGTGCGATCTCTGCCATCTCTGTAGGTAATACCTCAGCGCTCCCAGCGGGCTCTCCATCTGGAGGTGTCAGAGTCGGTGCTGCAGCCAACACCACGGAGACAGATGTTCAGCTGGGGGAGAGGAGAAAGGAGGAGGAGGAGGATGTTTTTCACCTTCGGATCAGTTCAGCCCTCTTCGCCTTCGCCCGGGGAATGTAGGACAGCGAGAGGAGAGGAGCACAGAATGGTTAATGAACACAAAAGGAACACAAAGAAGAAACTGTTACAGGCGCAAATATAGTCGAAACTATTAATAGCTCCAGCAAAAACAGCCTCCTTTTCTTTCCTCAGATGTCTTTAGCCGGCACGTCCGCCCCCCTCCCTGCACTTTGCTTGAGGTCAACCCAGTGCTGTTTGTACCCCATGCTGCTTGCAGTTGTTGCAGGCTCTTTTACAAGTCTATTGCCAGGCTCACTTCCTTGGTTTTCTACCAGTTCCTCTGTCGCATGTCACTCTGCAGGGTCCCCGGGCTTCAAAGGAAAACTAGATACAGTATTCATGGCATAACCGGGGGTTGGTCATCCAAAAGATACCACAGAGGGAAGATATCAAACACAGCTTTGAGGGATAACACCATTTTATCTTGTACTGTAAGACACAGACATCAAAATAAATGGATGAAAGAAATTTGGTTCTGTTCAGTTTCTTGAAAACTTCTTAGAATATTTATCAAACCTAACAAATTACAGTTCAAACAAGGACTCATTTTCCATCTTTGTCCTGTTTTTTTTTTTTTAAATGCTATTGACCTTTATTAAGATCGAGACCATAAATTAATGTCTAACCAAAGAAATGAAGAACTAAAAATAGGTGTATGGAATCAGAAACTTAAGGGGAAACAGCTCTGTGCACTGAATCTTCTTTTATTTATTATTTGAAATAAATATAAACATCTTCAGTTTTAACATTTCTTAACTTTCTCTGTCAGTCTGGCACTACAATGAATTTGTTCGGCTTTTGTGCTGCTGGCTGCACAAAATAAGACATTTGATGTTATCTCTGTGGGATATGTGAAATTAGAAAAAGCATTTTTCTCCATATAAAACGTCTCTTTGGTTTCCCATCGGCTCTGAGAGGGGTCTCTCCTCCTCCTTAGTTTATGAGGACTGTTTGGGGGCAGTTTCTCTCTTAAGCTCATCCATCCTTGAAACTTATTAATTTACCGATTCACAAAAAAAATCTACAGCTTAATAGATTGTTTGCATATGTAAGTTTCACTTCATGATTGTATCAGTTAATGGTGTTGTCACAGTATCTTTAGCATCAATGCAATAAGACAGATTTGTTGCGTTTTGTATTTTCTGGCAAACAATTAAGAATGAAAGCATTACGGAGGTGGAACTATAACTGTAGAAAGAGCAGATAAAAATAATAATTACACAGTTATTAGCAGTGTTATATGTGCATTATTAACACAGTG